AATATGTTGAGCCAGATTATATCACATATATGTTGAGCCAGATCATATCGCAAATATGATGGGTCAGATCATATCACAAATATGTTGGACCAGATTATAGTACAAATATTTGAGTCAGATCATATCACATATACTGTATGTTGGACCAGATTATATCACAAATATGTTGGACCAGATCAACCAGATCATGTCACAAATATGTTGGATCAGATCATTTCACAAATTGGTTCGCCCTGATCATATCACATATATGATTGGCCAGATCGAATCACTAATAGGTTTGACCCGGTCATATCACATATGTGTTTGGCCAGATCATATCACAAATGGGAGGGGCCGATCATGTCACAAATAAGATCGACCTGATCATATCACATATATGATTGGCTAGATCATATCACTAATAGGTTTGGTCTGATCATTTCACATATTTGATTGGCCAGATCGTATCACTAATAGGTTTGGCCTGATCATATCACATATATGATTTGCCAGATCGTATCACTAATAGGTTTGGCCTGATCATTTCACATATTTGATTGACCAGATCGTATCACGAATAGGTGTGGCCTGATCATATCACATATATGATTGGCCAGATCGTATCACTAATAGGTTTGGCCTGATCATCTCACATATTTGATTGACCAGATCGTATCACTAATAGGTTTGGCCTGATCATTTCACATATTTGATTGGCCAGATCGTATCACTAATAGGTTTGGCCTGATCATCTCACATATTTGATTGGCCAGATCGTATCACTAATAGGTTTGGCCTGATCATTTCACATATTTGATTGGCCAGATCGTATCACTAATAGGTTTGGCCTGATCATATCACATATATGATTGGCCAGATCATATCACAAATACGTTCAGCTTGATCATATCACAAATATGTTCGAACAGACCACACCACAAAAATGTTCGGCTCGATCATATCACGATGTTGGACCAGATCATAACATAAGTAGATGGAACCGACCATATCCCAAATAAATTTGGTCAGATCAAATCACAATACGTTCAGTCCGATCACATCACATATATATTGTGGCATATCATATCATATATATGTTGGGCCAAATCATATCACAAATATGTTTGGCCAAATCATATCACAAATATGTTGGACCAGATCATACCACAAATAGGTTCGACCCGATCAAATCACAAATATGTTAGACCAGATCATATCACAAATAGGTTTGAACAAATCATATTACGAATAGGAAGGAACAGATCATATCACAAATATGTTGGGTCAGATCATATCACAAATAGGTTCGGCCTGATCATATCACATATATGATGGGCCAGATCGTATCACTGATAGGTTCGGGCAATCATATTACAGATATTTTGGAACAGATCATATCACAAACAGGCCATATTACAAATATATGAGGCCAGATCATATCACATATCATATATATGCTTCGGCGTAGGCCTTGAATTTATTTGTTGAAAAGTATAATGAAATAAATATAACATACATAAGATTAAAAAATATATATGAGACCAGATCATATCACATATCATGAATATATATCATGAATATATGAGACCAGATCATTCAACAAGAAAATTCGAAGTAAATGCGACATATACGCAATTAATTCACGTGAAAATTCCGAATGACCTGCGTTCGTTTTTTTCGTTTTTCGGCGTTCGTTTTTTATGTTCGCCTGAAATATTTTTGCTTGACAATAATCAGAAAATGCGTATTTGCGTGACATGAAAAAAAGAGGCGTGACTTCAATTTCTTCAGCAAATGCGTGACAAATACGCAAATTGACGGCCTGTGTGATATTACGTGATTTTGAATCATATCATTAATCAACTTTGAAATTCATGGTCGAATACTGTATGTTATGTAACTGTCTTATATAAAAGATGCAAATAAATTATACATACATACATATAAAAGTGTAGCGATATCATATAGAACACCATGGTTTACTTACATCTGTTTATATCTGGTCTCTTACTCCCAACACGAGGATACAACCGACGCTGGGTTTCTAACATGGCGTTCGAGTTACGTAACGCGACAGGAGTGAAATCTAGAATGTTTAATTTACTAATTTTAGAATATTGGTCAAACTTCGGCCACAGGTTACTGAATAGTAAACATTGATACTCGATTAGTTTGTTAATAAAAGTGGGATGAACCATTTGCTTTAATTACAATGGCTGAAGATGATCAGTGTTGTGTCCTTTATGATGCTCTAAGAGCAACCACGTGATACCCAAATACGACTATAGTTATAACTGAACAAACCGATAGTTGCTGATGATCTTTTGTTACGTAACAATGTCTTGTTTGGATTGTGGTTTGGAGGCCTTTCGATTCACCGAGTAAGGTCCATCATTTTTTTCTTTATTTTAAGGATTTCAATCGTCAAAAAGTTAAGGTCAGGAAACTTTCAGTAAACGACACTTTGAAATAATTTGATAAAATACCAAATTCCTAAGGTCAAACCTTTCGTTTAGGTCAGTTTGAAAGAAGTCGACAGTATGTCAGTTTGGTTGATTTCAAAACAGGGATACTTTGATTTTGAAACATTTTTTGAAACACTCGTTGCTTGTTCTTCCCGTCTTCGCTTTACACGGCTTTATGTTATGGAAACATATATACGTTTTGAATCAAAAATCAAATTATGGGTTTCCCAACTTTTAATTAATACACAAAATAAAAACAAACAAAAGTAAACTAAAACATACTAAAACAAGCAAAACATATCCTTTGTTTGCTTACTTCTTGTGATAGTTTTTTGTTTTATGCTGGGAAGGTGTTCATATATTTTTAACAGTGCTTTATTTATATCTACTTAGTTTTTAAAGTTTACCGCATTCAGTGTGTCGGTCACCACACTTTGGACCGCACAATGCGATTGTACCCATTCACTACCCTTGTTCAGGTCAGTCAATACGTTCAATCATACCAAGAATACACGGTAACCGTGAGAAAACTCTTCTTTATAGGGGCATCCAACGGGTACATTCACTTACCGCAATTCCTATTAACTTACAGACTATATTTTATAGTTGTAGACGCGTTTAGGGGTGCCCTTTCAGGGATTTTCTAGGACAAAGAAAGACCACTATATGTTTGTGAATTTTGACCGATGAATGATCTAGGAATCGCACTGACATAAGTAACTCAAACTGTTTTTGTGTTAACCTGATGAGGCCTCTGATATTTGTATAGTTTAACACACACATTAACCTAGTGACCTTGGTCAAAAGGTGACAGAGATTACTCTCAAGTCTTCATCCATCTTTTGAAAGAAAGTGTATGTTCACACCAAAATATTTACTGTTAAAGTGGCAATGTAGTTTATCATAATATGACAGAAAATCGTTACCCACCCACAAGCTAAGCAATGGGGAGTTTTAATAGTAGATCATAGGGGAATTTTTCTTATTTTACTAATTAGATGTTTTTTATCAAAAATAAGAATTTCTATTTTTATAATGTGCTTTGAAGTATCCATAGTAGAATAAGTAAAGGGGCTTATTACCTTTAAAGTTATTAATTTTAAGGTAACTATTAAGTGGAATAAGTAACATTTGGTCATTGCCTTTAAGTTAAGCAGAGTGGAATAAAGTAACATTTGGTCATTAACTGTACGTTTACAACTGAACAAGAGTGGAATAAGTAAGATTTGTTTATTTACTTTAAGTTACCCAGGGTTAAATAAGTAACATTTGGTCATTGATTTTAAGTTAACCAGAGTGGAATAAGTAACATTGATTATTAGCTTTAAGGTGGCCAGAGTGGAATAAGTAGCATAGATTATTAGCTTTAAGGTGGCCAGAGTGGAATAAGTAACATTGATTATTAGCTTTAAGGTGGCCAGAGTGGAATAAGTAGCATAGATTATTAACTTTAAGCTACCCAGAGTGGAATAAGTTAGATTTGGTCATTAACTTTAAGTTACCCAGAGTGGAATAAGTAACATTTGGTCATTAACTTTAAGCTACCCAGAGTGGAATAAGTAACATTTGGTCATTAACTTTAAGCTACCCAGAGTGGAATAAGTAACATTTGGTCATTAACTTTAAGCTACCCAGAGTGGAATAAGTAACATTTGGTCATTGACTTTAAGTTACCCAGAGTGGAATAAGTAACATTTGGTCATAAACTGTAAGTTTACAACTGAACAAGAGTAGAATAAGTTAGATTTGTTTATTTACTTTAAGTTACTCAGGTTTAAATAAGTAACATTTGGTCATTGATTTTATGGTAACCAGGGAAGAATTAAGTAACATTTGGTCATTGACTTTAAGTTAACCAGAGTGGAATAAGTAACATTTGGTTATTAACTTTAAGCTACCCAGAGTGGAATAAGTTAGATTTGGTTATTAACTTTAAGTAACCCAGAGTGGAATAAGTAACATTGGTTATCAATTTTGAGGTGGCCATTGTGGAATAGGTAACATAGTTATTGTTACCTTAAGGTGACCAAAGTGATGGGTGTAGCATGGCTTGGCCAGATTCAAAATAGAACATTGCTTATTGATATTAAGGTTGCCAGGGTAGAATAAGGAATATTGCTTATTAATGTCAAGGTGACCAGGGTGTAAAAAGAAACCTGGCTGATTAATGTCAAAGTGAGCAGGGTGGCACACGTAACATTTTTTAAAATTTAATTTAAGGTTGCCAGGTAGGAATAAGTAACTTTGCTTATTAAAGGAGTGGAAAAACTGAGGTGACTTTAAGGCAGCCGGAGTGGTATAAATAACATTGCTTTTTAATGTTTAGGTATCCTAATTGGGATAAGAATCATTGCTTTTAAACTTCAAGGTGAATAAGTAACCTTGAATATGAACATTAAGGTGGTCAGAATGGAATAAGTAACATTGATTATTAGCTTTAAAGTGGCCAAAGTGGAATAAGTAACATTGATTATTAGCTTTAAGGTGTCCAGAGTGGAATAAGTAACATTGATTATTAGCTTTAAGGTGGCCAGAGTGGAATAAGTAACATAGATTATTAGCTTTAAGGTGGCCAGAGTGGAATAAGTAACATTGATTATTAGCTTTAAGGTGGCCAGGATGGAATAAGGAACATTGATTATTAGAGTTAAGGTAGGCAGAAAAGGATGAGTATGGGCTTAATAAATTATTTACAAGTATTTAAAATGAATAAAAATTTTGCTATTAAATAGCAATTTTTAATTGGATTGTTTTGCTATTTTAGTCTGTTATCAAGATGACTGGATTTCGGAGCTTAGGAGAAGATGAACCAATTGAGTTTACGTGTCGACCCTCAGACAAGGGTGTCGAGGCGACATATGTGTGTGGGCCTGAAGACTCTGAATGCAAGGGAAGCAGTCGCAGGCCAATGTCAAGGAAAAAGTTTCGAAGGATGAGGTATGGGGTGTATTTTTTAAAATTTGATATCAAGGGAAAAGTTTTGAAGAATGGAGTATGGGGGTTTAATTTTAAATCCAATGTCAAAGAAAAAGTTTTAAAGAATGAGGAATGGGGTGTATCTTTTAAAATTCAAAATCAAGGAAATACTTTTGAAGAATGAGGTATGGGATGTAATTTTTTAAATATCGAAGAATGATCAATGGTGGTGTATTTTTAGAAATTCATGTCAAGGAAAAGGTTTTAAAGTATGAGGCATGATTTTTTAAATTCAATGTCAAGGAAAAAGTTTAGAAGAATGGGATATGGGGGGGGGGTGTAGGGGTGAATTTTTTAAATTCTGTGCATAAGAGGCAGTTTTACTTCGATTTTTCGGATAAATACTTTGAAAAACATTTTTCAAAAAACTTCTAATGGGATCAAGGTCTATCATCACATTATACCAGACATTATACATTGAACAATAGATTATATGTCTCAATGTCTGTGTGTCAAAGTGTGTTAACATCAAATTGTATTAAACAAATAATATGATGTTAAAGTCAGTAAAATTTATTTTATTCAAAAACTGTAAGTATATATTAATTTGGAGTATAATGATTATGTCAGTTCTAGTTAAAGTTAAAATGTTGTTTTATGTCTTATTTAATTGAATTGAATTTAACTGCACGTGAGGATTGTGCTCCTGAACAATTTAAGATTTGTTTTTAGAGTCTAGCACAATAACATCAAACTCTAAAAGATTCAATTTTTTATCACTTATCAGTGAACATTTTGCCATTCGTTAAACATCCATGATGATGCCTCACTGCATGACTTATATTGAAGTCAAAATCCATTTTTGCCTTTACTTTTTATTATAATAAGATTTTAATTCTAAATACAGTAATGTAATCTACACATAGGCTGAAAGTTAACATTTTAAAATGATTAAAGCTTAAAAATGAAATAAGTATTGTAATGAAGCTAAATTATGAAACCTACTTACAGGTGCTATAATTGTGGAGATTTTGGTGGCCACCTTGCAGAGAAATGTCCCCATGGACCTTTGCCTAAAAGATGTCACCACTGTAAAAGTACGGACCACTTAATCGCAGATTGTCCCGTCAAACCCGAAAAGGACAGTAATGACAACGACAATAATAAAAAAGATTCCGATGATGGGGATACTCAGGGTGACAAAAGTGCCGGGACGTCAGTAGCGGCTACATAGTCATGGCAGCCGCAGCCATCTGATTAATTAAATACCAAAGCTTTACTGAAAGATTGTTCGGATACATATAAAGGATTGTGCCAGGCCGCAAAGTGAGCAACATTTCCAGATCAAGTTTTGGTGATTTAACAAAACCCATATTCCTTTGGAATAATTACTAACAAGGAGAGATCTAAAATCCTAAAATTATTTGTAAAGATGATTTTTAAAGCCTCAAAGCTCGTCTCTTTGATAGAATATTGGATAAGAAAATGCGTAAATGATGCCAATTTCATGGGGTAAACAACGCCAAGGGTAAAATCAACTATTATAATCATGGGTAAATGATTTTAGCCAAAGACACGTCGTGCCTTGAAAACATCTACATATGATAGGAGACAGAAGAAGGTGATTTGGTGCTCTGGAGTACGTATGCCCCTCAAATATGTGAATTTACATAGAAGTAGTCATAGGGAGATCAAATTTGAAATTTTGTTTAATTTTTTGTTGTGAATTACTGGTAATTGTACAACTTGCTTCATTTGTATGATCTAGCACAGTCATTTATATGTTCCTATACAATGTTATGGTGCCGATGTGAAGCTGTGAATATACCTCATGAATTCAAGACTTTATATAACTGGGCTTTTTGGCCCTTTTTCTGTGTTCATATCATACAGTTATAATTTTGTACATGTGACTATATTGTTACATAACATAGTTTTTGATAGTAATTTTGTTATATTAGCCTAGCTAGAGAATTATCAACTTCATGATCAATGAGAATCTACCTCAGAAACTACTGAGACCTTTTGTGCACATAAAATTTTGTTGTTGAAAACTGAGAAATGTCAGTAGAGCATTTTGAGTGAGTGCTGTGTATATTTTGCGTATTGTATCTTGAGTAGGTTGTTAATGGTGTACTTTGTGTATGGTAAGTACGATAGGTGTCCATGAGAAAATACATGAATTAACTGAATTTACCTTGGTGGTCATGGGTAGAAATTACCTCCTTTTATTTGTACTTCTTTTTTTAATGAGGTGTTCATGGGTAGATATTACCTCCTTTATTTTCTCTTGTTTAATGAGTCCATGCTAAAGGCAACAGTTTGTAATATATGCATTTCTTGATACTTCTCCAATTTTAATCACTCTTAGGGTATCCATGGCAACCAAGGTGTTTCATAAAGGTGTCAAGTTCTACCTCCATGGGCCACACCCATCGGACCTCATGTAAAACTCCAGTTTTAGAATTTTCACACCTAAGTTTTATTTCAAAATTAAATTTATATACAGTATATAATATTATGTAGTACAAAAATTTGGAATATATTTTTGTATTGTGTTTATGTTTGATTATCACCATTATCTTTTTAGTTAATGTTTTTCAATTAATTAATTAATCAATGAATAAGAATTTGTTGACCAAGCAAGCTAAAATGATGCAGTGGTTTTATTTGATTTTCAGATCAGTTAGAGACCAACTACTCAAATTTTACATGATATTTGATGGAGAATTCCATGACAAAATAATTGCTCTGAATCATTCTTGCATAATTGATTAGATGTGAAACTCTTTGGAAATTAATTATTTTAGTGTATATTAAGAAAGGGAACTCAAGTCTGATATTATCCAAGAAGACAAGAGAACAATTCCTCAGTTGTTCACCCTGGTCATATACTTTTCAACCCAATCATGCATATTTCACCTTGGTCATACATTTCACCCCAATCATGCATATTTCACCTTGGTCATACATTGCACCCCAATCATGCATATTTCACCTTGGTCATACATTTCACCTCAATAATGCATATTTCACCTTGGTCATACGTTTCACCCCAATCATGCATATTTCACCCTGGTCCTAAATTTCACCTCAAAATGCATATTTCACCTTGGTCATACGTTTCACCCCAATCATGCATATTTCACCTTGGTCATACATTTCACCCCAATCATGCATATTTCACCTTGGTCATACATTCCACCCCAATCATGCATATTTCACCTTGGTCATACATTTCACCCCAATCATGCATATTACACCTTGGTCATACATTTCACCCCAATAATGCTTATTTCACCTTGGTAATACATTTCACCCCAATCATGCATATTTCACGTTGGTCATACATTTCACCTCAATAATGCATATTTCACCTTGGTCATACATTTCACCCCAATCATGCATATGTAACCAAATATTTCACCCTAGTTATGCACATTTCACCCCAACCATGCATATTTCACCCTCGTCATTTATACTTCACCCCGATGATACATATTTTCACCTGCCCATACATATTTCGTCCCAATCATGCATATTTTCACCCCTGCCATATATACTTCATTCCAGCCATGCATATTTCACCCTGGTCATGTGTACTTCACCCTGGTCATGTGTACTTCACCCCAATCATACATACTTTACTCTGGTTGTGCATACTTCTCTTTTGGTTCATCTTCAGGATCTTCTTTATTGATATTTCTACAAATTGAGACTAAGTTCCAAACCTGTTCACTTTATTCCTTGTGAATCCTCCCCTTAGTGACAGACCAGTAGATCTTGGGGGTGAATCTTTTTCAAAAACAGTTTTCCCTTTCCCACCTTAGGTGGATCCTTAAGGTAGGCCAGAGTCCTCAAAGTTAAATTACATTTTCAATGAGTTGAAATTTTCAAATCGGGCCAAAAATTTTAAAAATGTTTTTTTGTACCCCTTGTCAATTTTAGGTCCCCCAAAATCTAATGAGTCTGCCCAAGAGCTATATATCATGGAATGGTATGACTAGTTTGCGATAGCTATTGGAACAATTAAAGGTCCACATTATTGTATGCAATGATGAAACCAAAGAATGGGTCACGACCCTACTATGACACTGCTAAACTGTGAACCAAATAGATTTATTTGTGACCTTATTAAAGGTCATCTGTGACCCTAATAAGGGTTATTAGTGGCTAAAATGGAATTTGTGGCTCAAACAAAGGTCATTTGTGACCTAAATAAAGGTCATTAGTGACTCAAATAATGTTTATTAGTGACCCAAATAAAGGTCATTAGTGACCCAAATAAAAGTCATTACTGACCCAAACAAAGGTCATTACAGACCCTAATAATGGTCATTTGTGGCTCGAATAAAGGTCATTTGTGGCTCGAATAAAGGTCATTACTGACCCTAATAAAGGTAATTTGTGGCTCAAATGAAGCCTATTATTCATGACCCAAAAAAGGTCAGAATGGTATAGACATAGATTCAGAGCTGGCAAAATTACAATTTCTGGCATTCGACAGCCCTGTAGCATTACAAAGAGGAGCTATAAAAAACACAGTATTGTAGAGAATTCATATATCGAGGTTAGCTTCTGTGAAATGATAGTGGTCTCATATTAAAAAAAGTTCAGATTTAAAGCCATTTGGTAGGTTATAGGGCCATTTAGATATTAAAACAAGTAACCATATACATTTTGGAGAAGTTAACTTCTTTTCAAATAATCCAACTCTGTTTTGAGAGAATTAGGTACTTTCAAATGGCTACCTCATTACACGATTCTGCCATGTTTTCATGTTGTTACTTTGTATACACTTAGATGTATATATATATATTGTTCTTTTTGAGCTGTATTTGTGTGTTAATGATACTGCATTATTCATAGTATTTGGGACTACTTTTTTGGGAAATATTGGTTATCACTGAAGTACATAATTTGTAATTTACTTACACTCAGTATTGGAAAGGAATAAAACACATGTAGTTGTATATATGATTAGTATATGACAAATCAGTTTAGTTATTCCTGCTATTATGTGCATACGTTCATGGAAAAAGAAGAATATGGCAATTTAGTTTAAACTGAAGACAAATTTCTTAAAGGTACATGTAGTTTGGAACAGTTTGATTGTAATTTTACTTAGCAGAATCAAATTCTCAGGTTCGTTAAATGAGAAAAACATTTTTACAAATAGTTCAGTTTCATTTGTACAATGTATCTCCAGAAAATTTTTGATGAAGCATCT